TACAGAGAGGGAAGAATTACCTCTGAACACTGTGAGTAAAGACACCAAGTTTAGCCACAGGATCATTTTTGCTCCCTCTAATGAACGGAGGGAAAATGAGAGGAGAGGATTCTGGAAAGTGCACAGACCTTGTGTTGGTGGGTGTGGTCTGGCAAGGGAAACCATCTGGCTCCTTTAAAGGGGAAACTGTGCCCTGATTTACATATCACTTTGGATAAAAGAGTCCCTCAGTGCATTGAGAAATAGATTCCTTTGCACATAACTTAGATGGGTGTTTTTCACATCATTGTTGACTCCTAAGAAAAGGGAGGGCGGGCTTGTTTTCTCTTCTGTCAGGTAATAGGAGAAAGGGCAGTTTTATATTACGAAATGTCACCATATCTCAAATGGCGAGTCAAGGTCACAGAGAGTATTTTATTTTTTGAAAATCCTCACATACATTAAATGATGATTAAGCCCTCTCGACAAAATGTGTAAGCCAAGATCGTTGGGTCCACCCAATTCACAAAGTCAGACTCAGATAAATCGTATCATCACCACGTACCCTCTTTCCGTTGAAGGAGAAATGTAAATCACTCCCTTTGTTTTCTCCCAAAAATTCCGTTTCTTCACCATTGAAGAAATTGCCTCGGCTTTTAACTCAGACATGGCTTCTCAGTGAGGATTATATTCTCCTGAGAAATTAAATTCTTTTGAGATCCCTTGAGGAAACTTTGAAGCAAGTAGTCACCCACTGGGGGAGATGGGTGGCACACAAATTTAATAGATAAGTAAGTAAGTAACAGAAGATACAACTAACCTCAGAAATGGGACCATATTTGTGCACCCTGGTTCCATTTCCCTGCCCATCTCTCCCCCTTTGGGAAAACTGCCTCCTGGTGCAAGGGAGGAGGGAGTCATCTAATTCCCCAAGGAGATTCTTGTGTTCTGGAGGGGGAAGCGCAACTGAGAACAAATGAAGGGTCTCCGGGGGATTTAGAAGCTCTAGTGAGAAACTCAAAGTGTCTGTCCTACTTCCTGATAGGAAATCAAATTGAAGAGGTAGACTATGACTGGCTGCATTTTCTGTCCGTAAGGGATTTTTAGTTTTTCTCGTAAACTCAGCGTATCTCGCTTATGTCCTGGTCACCTCATCGCGTGACTACTGAAACACATGCAACATGGGTCTGCCCTTGAGGACTTCCCTGAAGCTTCAATTGGTCCAGAATGCAGCGGTGCAGGCAATGATGGCCTTCCCTCTGTATGCCTATGTAAAATCTCTGCTTCACAAGCTCCACTGTTTGCCAATTTTATTCCAGGTGCGATTCAAGATGTAGGTCACTACCTGTAAAGCCCTACATGTCATCGGGCCTGGGTATTTGAAGGACCGCCTGTCTCCCACAGTGTCTGCCTGGCTGCTCTGATCTGGCAGGGTTGTCATGCTCGGGGTTCTTTCAGTTGAAGAGGGCCATTTATTAGGGTCCCAGAAGTGAACCGTCTCTGTCACGAGGTTGACCCTCAGTTTTGTTTGCTTGTTTATTAATGTCAATGTTTTTTATTGAAGATTTGATGGGCGGAGAATAAATCGAATTT